CCGGGAAACCTTTTAAATCCGAGAATAATGGTTTAATTAACAGGTCAATTAAGAGTTTAATGGTCTATTACGCAAGAAAATTACTTTAATGACCAAATTGGACAATTGACGAAACTTTAATGTGCTACAGTGTTATTTCCCCATTTTTTTATTTATAATTATTTGTCATGTCAATTATAACTTTCGTTTAGAAAGCTACACATATAAAGTCTAAATCTTGAGTTAAAAGGTTATGAAGAGGGTCTTACATATGTATTTCATTACGCTATAAACTTTTAATAGCTTACAAAAGGTTGTAATAACACAATTTCCACATATTTATAAAAAATGACAAAAATGTCATGGTTTCAAAATATAATTCACATAACTTTTACACTAGCTTCTAAAGCTATCATTTGCAAACGTTTAACATGGTTATTACCTAAAAATTCCGGATGTTACAACAATCTTAAACTTAACATATATATTACATGGTATTAGAGTTAAATCCCTATAATCTATATTTCATTCATTTCTTCTTCTTTTTTTAGAAACGGAAAATAACATTAAAATTAGGGTTGTGCTTGGGTCGGTTTAGGTCGGTTTTGACTAAAAACCGAACCCAAACCGAAAATGATCGGTTTCTGAAAATTTAAACCGAAACCCAAACCCAAACAAATGGGTTCGATTTATCGGTTTTCTGTTTTAAATCTCGGTTTCACGATTCGGTTTCGGTTTTATAATTCAAACCAAATCTCAAACTTATTTCTTAATCCTACCTCAACTCATCAACTATATAATGGTGAGGATAAGTGATATTTAGATATCCCAAGCGATGAAGGAATGAATCAATGTTAGAGATAATAGAAAGAAAGAGGATGGCGAGCTTATATAGAAGAGAATGTTGGCTAAGTTTCAGTAATGGGGCGATGTGGGATGTAGTTCACTCGTTGCCAGATTTTGTGGGATGTAGTTCACTCGTTGCCAGAATAAATCGAGAAAAATGACGCTAGCAAGTTTCGAACCTGCGCCATTTCCTACAATTGACCAACGCGTTAACCACTCGAGCAATGCTCCAGTTTGTTTTTATAACCCAAGGACTACGTATATATACATATATAACTCACAGAATACAAATAATATATGAAATTCGGTTCAGTTCGGTTTCTTTCGGTTTTACCAAACCCAAAAACCGAACCCAAACTGAAAATTTCGGTTTTTGAAAATTCTAAACCCAAACCGTCGGTTTATGCTTCTGTTTCGGTTTTTTGGTTTCGGTTTTTGTCGGTTGTTCGGTTTTCGGGTTCGGTTTTGCTCACCCCTAATTAAAATGACACACGATTAACAAGTAACTAAACCGTGACCAAAATTGTTCGGTTTTGCTCACCCCCTTCTCCCTCCCGCTCCATCTCCAATCTGCAACCTTCTGCCGGTCTCCCTCCGCCGCCGACACCAGCCAGGCCAGCGACGCCGACGCCGACAGCGACTCCGATACCACCGCCCCTTCTCCCTCCCACCGGTTCTAGGTAAGGGTTTTTCTTTCTTGCCCTAAAAATCGATTATCTATTCATAGATGGTTGTTATTTAGTTTTTTTTCCTGAAATCAGAAGCCCTAAAACTCGATTTTTAAATATGGAGATGTTTTTTCTGGAGTTGTGTTCTTCCTTCAGATTTGTCCGGGTTTTTGGTTGATTGATCGAGTTTAGAGGGGTTTTTTCTGGAGTTGTGCATAGGTTTTGAATGTGGGTGTTTCATTTATGTACTTCAATTGTCAAGATGTTGGTGTCACTTTTGGAATGTAAATTAACTGGACTTGTACAAATTTCAGGGATTTCTTTTTCTAATCCCTTTCAGTTTTATAATGATCAATTCAGTTTTGAAGTCGATGAAAATACTTCCATTAATGATTATATATATTTCCATTGAGCTTATTTGTTTTGTTGTTGAATTATCAATTGCAGGTTGAAATGTTGGAAAGAAAAATTGAGAGGCTATCAAAGGGCATGTTTCATGTAATGATGGAGAAAGAGTATGAATAATTTTGTTTAGCTTGAACATTTGTTGTTTTTCATAATCACTTTTCTTTTTCTAATAGATTTGCTGATCTCACCAAGGTATTTTGTATGTTTTCATGGATTTGAAAGAATTTATGTTGTATTTTAGATTTGTGTTTAATTTGGATTTTGTATGGTGTTAAATATAAGAAATAGCAATGTATTTTTATTGATTTCTCTATTATAGCATCATTACTTTCACCTTTTCCTATTAGAGAATTGTATTTTATAAACATAAACATTAAATTCAGCAAAAAAAATACAAATGGTAAAATGGTCATTTTTGTAATTCAGCATAGCAATTCAGAGGTTCCAACCAAACAGCTTATTAAAAATTCAGATCTTAAAAATTCAGACCCTCTTAGAAATTCAGACCTCTTAAAAATTCAGAGCTTAAAAGTTCAGATCCTGCCAAACAGCCCCTTAGGCCATCAAGTATGGAATATGTTTTGACGCGTTATGGACGACATGGAAGGGTTGTTCAATCCTGAACACCGCCTCACGGTGGCGTAAATATGATGCAAATTGACTACTATTATGGGTTGTCACAACTAGTGGAATTCTTTCACCTCAAACGGTCAAAAATGCATCCATTGAATGCATATTATGTATAAAAAAAAATTACTTTTCAAATTTAAAATAAAAACTTACTATATAAATATCAACAATTTTATAACCATTTCATACCTCAAAAACACTCTAAACTCTTTCTAGTTTCTCATCTCTTATTGAAACTATGGATTCAAATCAAAACACCTCACCCACTCCAAACACCTCAAACACTCCAAATGATCCATATCCACATCTTAACTACATACAAATGTTAACATCACCAATCCAACAACAACCTCTATTTACCAATATTTCATATCAACCAAACTACTTCCAACAACAAAGACCACAACAATTCAATCAATCCCAATTCTAAGCTTTTTCAACAATTTCAACCCCAAAGCTTCGCAACCTCAACAATTTCAACCACATACAAACTTCTCAACCTCAACCATTTCAAATATAACCATCTCATGTCCCATTTTCGCAATCCCAACCTATAAACTTCGACAATGACGACGACGAAATGGTCCAATAAACATAAAAATCATCTAGAAGAAGACAACAAAAAGGAAAAAACTACAAAAAAAAGTACGGCTTGGAATGAAGATGAGGAGGAAGCTTTATCTAAAGCTTGGATTTTCATATCGTGTGACTCGAGGATGGGCAACGGAAAATAGTTTTTGGCTTCGTGTGTTAAAGCACTTTCATTCGCTATTGGGAAGGCAAACGGATCGGACGTACGACGAGGTCAATGAAAAATGATGTGAACTACGAACGGCTGGCACCAAGTTTAATGACATATTTCAAAATCATAAAATTATATATATAAAAGTGGTAGCAACGATTTCAATATTTTATCAACCGCATGCCAACAATACAATGTTACCAACGGTGGTAAAGCATTCGGTCACCAAAAAGCGTTGTAAATTTGTCGTAAGGATCCAAAATGGGTCCTTAATCCGCAGACTTCGCATTCAGAATCGACCACCGGCTCCAACAAAAGGCCAAGAACTTCCGAGTCGGATGTGGGTTTTGGCATTGCCTCAATGAAGACTTCGACGACACCGAGGGGGAGGGTCCACCGGAAGTCCAACTTCGTACACCACCAGAAAGGGACAAAAGGAAAAAAGGCGACATCTTCAAGCGGAAAAGCGAGTAGCGAAGACGCACTTGCGGAAAAAAATAGACAAAACTCTAAGTTTTTTAGAAAAAAAAAATATCAAGCAACAAAGGAAGCTCGTCGCCGAAATATAACACTTACCGATCTTCAAATTATAAACACAAAGCCTTAACCGGATCTCGACCCAGAAAAGCTAGCGACGTTTCTAAAAATTCAACAAGTCCGCTAAACATATACAAATTAGGTTTTAAGGTTTTTAATTTTTATGTTTATTTTTTTTTTGTTTTTTAAGTAATTTAGGTTTAAATTTCTATGATTTTATGTTTTTTTTTAGTAATTTAAGTTTAAAATTTTATGTTTTTATGATTTTTTAGTAATTTAGGTATAAAGTTTAAGTTATGTAATATGTTTTTAAGTAATGTGAAATATTTATTTATGTTTATTAATTATGTTTTTTATTTAATCTAAATGTCATAATAAAATAAAAAAAATAAAAAGATAACAACATGGAATGGGTACCATTCCAAGTGCTAGTGAACATGTAGTGGAAGTGATGTGGCGCGTAGATGACATCACTTTTCTAGTGAGTTGGTGGTGATCATACCTTATAACATTATTATCGTACATCTCTAATTTAATTCTCGACCCATTGGCCTTATATCGAGTGTATATATGTTAGTTACGTAGGCAATTAATGAGATACGCAATCATTCAAAATAACATGGAATTGGAGCTAAATCCCTAGAAATATCCTTCCTCATCTCCTCACATGGACATCTTCCATGCCAAAACCCCACTGCCTTCCATTATCTCCTTCCCAGCTTCTCTCTATTCTATATATTATTCCTTAATGGATGAAAATCAAGATAATCATTCCATAATATTTTGTACAATTAATTAATGTTTACATTTGTTGAGAACTTCATGAGACTTTTAGTTTGGATGTAGAAAGTAAAAAATTGTTTATCAAATCTCTGAGGATTGGAAAGTTTCAACATCAGTTCACGATACATGTCACAAAAAGGTAACTAAGAAATTGGAATGTATAGTATAGGTCGTTTCCTGTTTCGCAAAGAAATTGGATTATATAGGACAAGCTTTACCATTTCGCGAATCAAGATATCCTTGTTCCCGATTTAGCATACCATTTTGACCATTTCTGTGATTAAGCCTTCTATTAAAAGAATGTATAAGTATAAAGAATACACAACTTGAAAAATAAAGTATAATGAAGTTTACAAAATGGCACTTTTCTTTGAATTATTCACTATCATGTACAAAAATAAGATATTGGAAGGATGATTACATACAAAAGAATTGAGGGATATCTTTTCCCACTCTTAGATCAATTTTAAACAATAATAGAACAAATAATATATTTAACATCTAATTAGACATGAGCAGAATTCATTTGCCATATGTTGACTGAGGCAGTAACTTTGGTTGCCGTAGCGTTGTTAAACAAGAATAATTGAGCATTGTTGTTGATAGCCTTTGTTGGATAAACACGTGAAGTGATACATGATCTTCCCTCTTGTGCAAAACTTTCAACTATCGAATGGTCCACCAAGATTCTCATAGACAACTTTTCACCTTTAAGAATTGGGACAATGCTCCCATAAATCGACTTATCGACATCATTAGCATTAGATGACCTAGATTGATCAGCACAAAAGAATGTTTTAAGGTTCCCATCAACTCCTTTGGCAACATAGAAATACACGGGAGTGTGTTCAGCTACACCTTCTTGTGCAAGGACTGAAAAACCGAATGGTCCCAATGCACCTCGTTGTGCGGCTCCACTATTTTTGGCACAATCATATGCAACATCGGCTCCGTTTAATCGCTCCACTGTCTTCTTATCCACTTCAAACTCGGCCACAATATCTAGCTGTAAATTATAATAATTCGAAATCTTATAACCAATCATATATACAAAGTACTTTTAATGACAATGACAACTAGACATAGTCTCATTTATTTCTACTTTTTATATATGTTGTAGTCTCATTTCTCTTTATGACTCTTTTGGAGATAAATTCTACAACTAACATAACAAAAAGGAAAATATATCAAGTACCTGAGATGCAGAAGACAGGTTGAGTGGCACGAGTGAGCCAACATCTAAAACGACATCCTTGAAAACCGTAAGGTTTTTCCGCAATCGATTAATTTCTTCAATGGGCCACTGAATTATATTGCTTTGAGTTTTTTTATCCAACACAATAGTTCTTGGAACTCCCTGTGAAAAATGTAGAAGTATAATAAATATATAGTGAAAATTGTCGGATTTGAAACATTTTAAGATAGAGACATACCTTCTTGATGTCGGAGGCTTCGGTGTCTGTCTCTTTCATCCAACTCCACAAAACTCTTCTTTGTTTGTTTTGGTCGAAAAATGTTTTTGAGGTCGTATCTCAACCCGATTCCCACATCTAATGTAGGATTATCTTGGGTCCATTTCCCCTTGTAGGCATCATAAGTACCGATGGCATAATAGTCATTTCGGTCATCATCCATACTAGCTTTGACTATGTGTTTGACCCCAGGCCCATCTACTGACGTGTCAAGCCCATTCTCGCCTTGTTTTGATATCGGGTAAAAATCAACACATTCCCACATACCGGTACCCGGCACAGCATGGAGCAACCCGTCTAAAAGCTCAAAGGTTCTGAAGTCTTCTGCGTCGTAAACCAATGAAATACCGGTTTTGTTGATCTTAGAACCGATGGTGATTCGCCACTTTCCCTCTGGGGTCTGCCATGCGGTTGTTGGATCACGGAAATCTTTATTATCGATACCGGGTGGTGGGACCAGAACCGGGTTTCCGGGGTATTTGACCCAGTTGATTAGGAAGGGGTCAGATGGGTCGGCTGGATAAGCTAAGTTTTGGACCTGGACGGATTCGTTGGTGGATCCGGTGTAAAGTACGACGAGTTGACCGTCGGGAAGGATGGTGGCGGAACCAGTCCAGACACCCTGTTCGTCATACCACTGGTCGGTTTCCATGGCGATGGGGAGGTGGCGCCAGTTAATTAAGTCTTTGGAGACAGCGTGGCCCCAAACGATTTTGCCCCACACCGGAGCATCGGGATGATATTGATAGAACAGGTGGTACCATCCATTGTAAAACACTGGACCTGAAATATATTTTAATTAAAATAAAAATGTCAAAAAAGTGCATGTAAAGAAGAGTAGACCTCAAAAAATATTTATATAAAGTATATTTTTATTAAAAAAATGTTAAAAAAGTGCTTAAAAAGGATGTTATCTTTCTTCCTTTTCAGTTATAACTTTGAAGTTTGAAAGTAAGGATATGCTTTTTTAAGAATAATTTGATAAATAAAGAATATTAATTGTACTACTTGTTTTCTTGTATGAATGAATCACGAAAACGAGAGTGGGCCATCCTTAGGATAAAAGCACTGTTTTATTAAACACTTTAACTCATAATTATGTATTGTTTATTTCGAATTTATAATATAAAAATATATAAACCGAATGAGTTTTGAACTTACCGTTAGGATCTGAAGAGAGAATCGCGATCACCACAGCGATGCCAAAAAAAAAAACAAAAAAAAAATAAATAAATAAGTAATGATGTTTCTAATCACATTCATCATGTGAAATTTAACTCAAATTTTCTGTGTGTATGTAAGAAAGAACTAATTTACCGTTCATCCAGTTTTTCTTGGGTTGGAAGTGAAAGGCAGTTCTTTGCCACTCCAACATGTCGTTGCTCCATGGATACGAATTATTTGCACCCAACAATGGATGAAAAGATTTCTCCGACACACCTTTGTCCAACCCACGAGATAAAGGTGTTACCTTTTCCGGAGTTGCCGCCGTGGATGGCACCGGACTGGTGTTCAAGTTTTTGAGAAGCATTGGCCTGTTTCCGGCGAACAATGCCACTAGAAAGGCAACGGCCAAGAACACAGACACAAGAAAGAGGGCTGTCTTTCTGGATGGGCGGATGGTGCGATCATTTCCGGCGGGTTGTTCGCCGTCAGGCAATGGGGCGTAGGAGTAGGGAAGGGCGGAGGTGGTGATTGGGTTTTCAAGGTCTGAGACTGTCGGAGAAGCCATCATGTGAAAGTTAGTCAAAACTCAAAAGATGTTTATGGTGAACGTGATTTGCAGGTAGATACTGGCTACCCTATTTATAACAAAAATTTCGCCAAATACGAGAGATTTGGAAATTATATATGCTGAGGTGGAATTTGTCAGGTACACATAGTTCTGAACAATAGGTGGAAAACAGCAGGGTGTTTATATTTTTCTTTGGAAGGTATATCATCAAACATTTTCTCTACTATATTGCATTGAAACTGAACAATTTTTTTTTAGAATAAACTACATGATTAATGTTTCCTGTGGTTTGGGGGTAATATATGTGTTTTGTCCTTTTTTTTTTTTTTTTCAATTCCGAAGGTTCTCAAACTTTGTTTTGTTGTGTCTTTGGTCCCTATATGACATAAAAACCTATATGACATAAAAAGACTATTTTGTCTTTAATATATGTATATATTTTTTGATTTTCTATTATCTATTTGTTATTTTTAAATTTAAAAAAAAAAAAATTAATGTGCCATTACTAATCAACCCAATATCCCACATACATCTTCCATGTTCAAAGATCCAGCCACCACACTAAAATCATCATTGTTCACTTCTCACAACCACAACAATCACTATCGTTCACCGTCGTCAACCACCAGCACTCACCGCCTCCAAATCATATTCAAAGCTGATATTAAACTTTAAACCTAAAACCAAAATGAATATATGAAAATTTTGAAGTCAAACCTCAAAGCTGAAATCAAAATCACATATGAAATCAAACATCAAAAACATATATGAAATCAAACCTCATATTCAAAACCTTAAGAAACCTAAAATTCAAACCAAGATTTGGAACCCACATGTGAATCCCTTGTGATATGTTTTTGTTTTCCTTCATTAACTGCATTTTTTAATACAATATGTTTTTTTTTCGAAAGAAAATACAATATCTTATGTACATGTCAAATGACATAAATAGTCCTCTAACTTAAAAGAGTAATGATAATAACATAAGGGTAATTTGGTCTTTTGCACTTACTTGCACATCCTTCTCTACTTCTCTTAGAATCCAGATGATGGCATGATCAGATGTAACATGTGATGATAAAACAATATGTTCAAATCTATCATTAACGGGTTGAAGTTCTTATCTCTAGAGTATACCCTTACATAGTCATTTGTTTTTTAAACAATGTTCAAATCTATCATCGGTTTACCACATCATCGGTTTACCACATCTGAGAAACATGTGATGATAGACCAATATGTTCAAATCTATCATCGGTTTACCACATCTGAGAAACAATGTTCATGTGGAGTTCAAACCCAATACGTAGTAATTCCAAGTATACCCTTACATAGTTATTTGTTTTTCAGTAATTAATTATATTCTGAGGGTTTTAACTAATTTGATTGTTTATTTCTACCATCTCTGTAACTTTATCATTGCGCTTTGACATCTCAATCGAAAAAGCGAGCCACCATTTTAAAAGTGCTTTCGTCGGATATACAATTGGCTTGGTCTTTATAATTGTTGTCATGAATTGGTTTCAAAATGCGGGCCCGGTGAGAATGTACGTGTCAGAGTATCTGGGATTGAAGAAGAAGACATACTATCCGACTTTGTTCTTTCCAGTATTGGTATTATGTTTTCTTTTAATTAAGTTTATCTTTAATATATACATATATTTATGAAATAAAGAAATGTAATAATGTTTTCAATATTGGATATCTTTCTAGAGTTTGATGTTTTTTTTTTTTTTTTTTTTTTTTTTGCAGCAAAACCAATGCCAGTAGTTCACGAGTTCATCCCTTAGTTGCAAATTCTTGAATTGTTGGAAAATTTATTGACCTTACATAAATCTTTCACCTTGGATTTATTATTATTCTTGATCACTTATTTTTATTTTATGGATTTTTATTTTTATTTTTTGTTTTAGGCTATTTTCACAGCTAGATACAAAGCTATATTGCATATTGTTGTTGAGGAATGTGAGATTATTGAGTTGATGCATCAGGTTGATCCTAAAACCAGGAAACTAGTGAAGAAGAAGGTGATTTTTCTCAAGAATGGTGTTGTTGTCATTTGTCGTGTTCAGTGGTGGATCCAGGATTGAAGTAAAGGGAGGTCCGTTATACATAAAAAAAACTTATATAAAAATAAAACTATTTTTTTTTTTTGGGAATCTGTAGGTGTCTGCAACAAAAATATGTTAAGGTGAGACTTTTTCTACAAGAATGGGTGCCACAAAGGGGGTTTTTTTTAGCAAAAGTAAAATTTTTAAATGGGGGTGCAAGGACCCTACTCCTAACATGCTGCATCCGCCACTGGTAGTATTCAGGTTAGTTTTCATATTTGTTAAAAAAACCGTTTTGCCCTTTTAACATATCCGTTCTATTTACTATTACATTTCTTTCTTACCTCTTCCTTTTTCCCCTTGATGTCTATTTACTTTTAAAACCCTTGTATATACTACAAAATCTTCATAAAGAAAATTCATGATTATTTAAACTACAATTTTATAAATACTGTCATTTAGTTGTTTATAAATTTAAATTTGTTGAATGACATTAATTTTTATTGTTGTTTCTCTAATATTTTCCCCAGATGACTAATATGATATGCATTGACAAATTCACAAACTTTCAACAACTTGGTTTATTTACACTTCGTTCTTTTAATATTTTTCTAATTCTAAAAGGAAAAATACAAAAAAGGATTTTGACATTCACTATTTAATCGATTTAGCCACTTAACTACTTTCTACTTATTAAACCATTATATTCTTTTAGACTATTTTAAAAACCATTTTCCCCATTTTTTTGCCCCGGTATTTGTGTTGAATTTTGTCTCTTCATTATTTGTATAACAATAATGTTGAAGGGTTGTAAACGTATTGTGTTCTAAGTTGGGGAGTTTTTAACCGGTAGAAATAGCAATTGAAATTTGTAGGTGAGTGACCCATCTTTCACTTTTTAATTCTCTCTTTCTAAGTTGAAAAAAAAAAAGTTTCTAACCCGGGGCGAAGCTGGGGTTCTTTTCTTGTTTGCCATTATAAGTGTCGCTCATACTTTTTATATTTGTTGTAGTGTTATTTGTGTTTAATGATAATTTGCCTAACATCATTTGGTTGGTTATTTTCCAATTGATTGTGTCGATTTTCTAATCCAAACTTGTGATACAATAATTAACGCACTAAATAGACAAGGTCTCATCCATTGAAACATGTGCCATTTGGCGTCTTAGTAGTCACTCATTTGGTTAGTTTAGCAGCCGAATAATAATAATTTGTTTTCAAATGGATAATTGGTGCCTTTGACATGAATATACATGTCTTCGTTTCATTTTTTAGCCACAAACTTAAAGTCGGAGGATGAAGACAAAGAATCATAATTGTCACTATGTTTGATGATAGTAGGAGATCGCCTAATCCGATCTGTATGTTGGGCTTTGTACTTAGTTTGTTCACTGCCAGATTTAAAATTTTCTTTAATATGTTATTTTTCTTCTTTAAAAAATATCTTTTCGTTATAATTCAATATTTTTATTTTGGGGAAAACCCTATAATTCAATTTTCAGTCCTTGTGGCCATACTTGTGTCGTTGAGCTATCGACTTAAGACTAATAGCCGGTTAACAAACGGTAACCTGCCTCAACCGGTCACCTTTTACCTTGAAACACTCATCCGTCACCTTTCTCTCCTTACGTGTTCATCTTTCAGAACTCAAAATGGGTTTTCATGCATACAAACGTTTGGGAAGAGGGGTTTGAAAATGGATTGTGAAGAATCACCATTTTCACACGGGAAATTGTTGTTGAGACACACTGCAAGTGCAAGGTACGTAGGTCCGAACATGAAATTGAAGTGTATGTGAGTTTTTTCTTATGTCATTATCAGTAACAAGTTATTTATTGCACATTTAGCAGACGACCTCTGTTTAGAAACACAAAGACAAACGACCTAAAACTGGTACTAAGAATGAGAAAGGCAAAGGACCTGACCTGAAAAGGTATACGTTGAAGACTCGGACTCAGATAATGAAGTTTTTGACTTCAGTTTCTTGGATTTTTCACAAGAAACCTTCAAACCACCATCCAACCTATGTAATGACCCTTTTCTTAACTTTTTGTGTGATGAAAATATGTTAAAGAGGGGTATAGACGGGTCGGGGGATGATAATAATCAACCTGGTGTAATTAAGGTTGAGCATGGCCACATACCAGAGGTAAATGATGAAGAAATTGGTGTAGAGTTTAGGGTCCAAGATCCAAACCAACTTTGGAGCGATATGAGACCTGAATTGGGTGAGTGTTATGAGTCCCCTGCTCAACTTAGGTTTGCATTAATAAATTGTGCAGTCCATAATGGTTATGGTATTTACTTTGAGAAGAGTGATAGACTTAGGGTAATTGTTAGGTGTGGAAACAATTCTAGTGATAAAAAGCCATGTCCTTTTAGGGTAGCAGTTGCTTGGAAGTATAATGAAAGGACATTCCAAATTAAATCCATTGTTAAGACTCATCTTTGTGCCAACTTTGGTAGCTTAGTTACTTCTAACTGGTTAGCAAAGCACTACTTGCAAGATGTCATCAGGAAGCCCAAAATGACATTAGATGAGATGAAAAAAGATGTTTTGAGGAGGTTTTCAGTGAATGTATCTAAGGGGCAATGTCAACGAGCAAGGTCACAGGCTAGGGAGATGATAGAAAGAAAGTTAGAGGAACACTATGTTAGGGTTTGGGACTATGCAGATGAAATCATCGGGTCTAATCCAGGGAGCACATGCAAGGTTGGGGTAGATGTCAATCCTAGTGGAATAAACTATTTCAAGAGGTTCTATGTATGCTTCAAGGCTTTCAAGGATGGATGGAAAAAAAAGATGCAGAAAAGTGATAGGACTGGATGGATGTTTCTTTAAGGGCCAAGTAAAAGGTGAGCTATTGACTCTTATTGGCAGAGATGCAGACAATCATGTCTACCCAATAGCTTGGTGGATGATTTGGATCTTGGTGGTGGTAATGGGCTAGTTGTTATTTCAGACCAACACAAGGTATGTATATTATGCCTTTCAATAAAAAAAATTGTACAAATATGTTACTTATTAATTTGTTATCATATTATAGGGACTATTGCAGGCTGTGGCACAATTTCTTCCACACGTTGAACACAAACAATGTGCAAGACATATATTTGCAAATTTTAGGAACATATATATATGATTGGAACTAAAGAATTTGTTTTGGGAGGCTGTTAAAAGTACAGTAGAAGTGGACTTTAAAGCTACAATGGAGAAGATCAAGAGCATCACACTTTCAGGTTATACCTATCTAAAGGCAAGACAACCAGAAACTTGGTGCAGGGCCTTCTTTACAACAAGATTTGCATGTGAGGCTGTAGAGAATGGCATTTTAGAATGCTTCAATTCTTTGATAAGGCAGATGTGGAAGAAACCTTTACTTACAATGCTTGAGGAAATCAGAATTTACCTAATGGAAAGAGTTTATCATCAAAGGGATTTGCCTAACCAATGGAGATGTGACTATAGCCCAAATACCCTATAAAAACTTATAGAATTTGGGAAAGATATGAGGTAAAATGTTAACACATTAACTGTTTTTAATTGGCTATAATATTATTACATATAATTGGTCACTAACTTGTTTATCTTGTAGGTTGTGGAAGGTAATAGCAAGTGGAGATCATTTATTTGAGCCTAGGTATGCATATGATGGGTATAGGGCGGATTTACATCATCATTCATGCACATGCAGAATGTGAATGTTGTCTGGAATACCATGTGTTCATGGTCATGCAACAATCAACTATGTGCACAGAGATCCTCTTGAGTTTTTTTCTCCCTGGTTCCATAAGGACAAGTTGATTGCAACATATATGGACAATATACTGCCTGTTGGTGGAAGCAGTTTGTGGCAAAGGACTGATTTCATCAATCCATTACCACCCCTTGTGAGGAGAATGCCTGGGAGACCTAAAGTAAACAGAAGGAAGCATGCTTCTGAATCTCAAGACTCTAAATATCCAACTCAAAGGGCAAAGATACCTAGGACTGTCAGATGTGGAAAATGCCAACAAATTGGGAATAACAAGAGTATTTACAAGAATGAAGAGGTTCCCAAAGATCATATTCCAACAAGGAAGCTTGGGAGACCAAGGAAATATGGAGTTGGTCAACTATATTATGACCACTTCCCACCTAAAAGGAATGGAACAAGGATGGATGGTGAAGGTACAAGCACTACTCCAAAAAATGTTCAACAAGAATAAATTAAACCTACACAAAATCTGGGGGATGATGTACCAATTGAAACTGTTCAAAGTGTACAAGATGAAGGGGATAAAGTGGGTAGACAAACTGCTCACCATGAGAATGTGGATAAGAAACCTACTCCTAAGAAAAGGATAAAGATGAAGGCAAATAGGGGAGGGAAAAGCAACATCATTTGGAGGAGGGAAGAAACTGATGTGGGGGAGGGATAGGAGATGTGTCCCTTACTTGTTAAGAATTTATTAATGACATCTTAATGGATACACCTTATGCTGATAATAAAATGACTAAGGTTGAGGTGAAAGTGCCTGATGTTGTGTTGAATGAGACTACAGATGAGGTGAATGAGACTGAAGATGAGGTGAATAAGATTGAATGTAGGGTGACAGAGCATGTGACTAAGGTGAATGAGCTTGAGGCTGAGGGGAATGAGTTTGAGCCAGAGGGGAATGAGGCTGAGGTGAATGACCTTTAGGCTGAAGGGAATGAAGCTAAGGTGAATAAGTTTGAAGGAATGATAAGAGACATGGTTGAATTTGGATATCCACAACCTGAAATTGAGTTAACTATGCAAAAGGTATGCAATTTATGTGTCCCTTTTTATATGTTCTTATCACTCATATCATAATATCTGTTTGCTTATAGTTAGTAGGGAAAGACATAAGATGAGGTTTGTTTCATTGTTGAAGAGGAGGAAACCTTATGAAAGAATCATAAAGATAAATCTAAGCAAGAGTGAACCTGTTTTGTTTTCTGAGAAAGAAGAGGCCTTATATGAAGGACAATATATTGTGTTTTGATTATCATGTATGCATATTGTAGGGGTCAAATGGGCATAAGTATTTAGTCTGCCCTTTTTGAACATATATCCCTATATCTTTTGGATTAGCATGTTTCATAGTATAGGGGTAAAATGGGCATTAGTTTTTTGTCTGCCCTTTTTGAACATATATATATCTTTTGGTAACAGGTTTCCAATTCACGTCCAATAAATTTGGCAAAATTTAAACCTTGGTTCTTATTGTTATTACCCATTTGTGTAGTTATGTTGGTACTTTGGTCATACTACATTGTATTTTTTGGGATGCTATTGTTGGCTAATGATAAAATATCAGCTACTATTACCTTTGGTTGACAGTAGATAGTCTTTTTAAGTTCATTATCTTGATTGTTGTTAATTGAATCTACATTGTAAAGTACACTACCATATAAGGTCACTGACATATGTTTGGGCAAAATGTACAAATAATAACCATCATAAATAACCATCATATTTATTAGGGACATTTCCCATTACATGACCTGAATTACATTACAAAACACTACGCTTACACCTAAAAAAGTACATAAACATCAAAAGATCACCACCACTTTCATAAGAAAACACTGTCATGATCAACACCTTTCCCAAAACGTTAATGCCCACATCTTTAACCTATTTGAACCATCACTTTGTGAACCATGAAACCCAATAAAGTCACCATCACCAGAAGAAGCAACAACATGATCACCACCACCTTCAAAAGTTTCAACATTATTCTCTGACATTCTTTAGCTTCATTTGCTTGTTCCAACTCAACATAAAAATTCCACATTGTTTCCTTGTAGTGATTATTTGGCAGTGGTGGATCAAGCCACAAGAAAAAATCACTTTCTTTTGTTCTGCACAGTGTCAAAAACGATTTGTCTTTGCCTTAGTTCTTAGTTTAATATCAACAAAATCACAAAAATCATGTCATTTTTACCTAATAGTTAGGACACCCTCGAAATTTTCTACCCATATTTTCATATGTAGTGGAGATGGAGAAAGTGGCGATTTCATCACAATCACATGTAAGCTCTTCAGACCACCGATTCCTTGGTGCCCAAGCTCTGTACAACCCATAATTTAAAGACGTAACCATGCCTTACCAATAGGAGGGAGGGGAGGAAGAGTGTGCATGACCTACTACTATCTCTCAAACGTTCATAAATAAGATTTGAAAACTTAATGACCGGATGAAACCGGCTAAAAGGGCCAAGCCCAATACTCAACGACACAAAAATGGCCACAATGACCGAAAATTAAATTATAGGGTTTTCCCCAATTTAATGACAAAATGTTGGGACTTTTATGGTATTTTCCCTATTATAATGTTTACCTAAATACTGAGATGATTTGTGGTTTGCAGTATTTATACTGGATATAATGTGATTCTATATATAGCTAACATTTTATTTGCCCAATTATCATTTAATATGCAATTTATTTCTTATTATTATTTATTAAGCAAACTCAAACATAACTTATTGTTTTATTATATTTATTAATAGTTCTTCTTTGTTCCTTAATATTCCCAAAATCATCTATAAAGTGAAGGAAACTTATTGGTGCATTTGATTGTTACTCCATGAAAATATGATTTGGATCAAATATCATTTTATTTGGAGTGCTTTTGGTGCCGTCTTTCTTCCCTCCGACACGGCTTGAGTTAATCTATTTCTCTAATTCCAAATTAGATTCTTCTTTTGTTGCGATTGATTATAATTTGGTGACCACTTGTTAACTGTAAGAGGGTTTTCTCCAACGATTTCAGAGAGCTCTTGGTGTCGTCGCTCTTCCTTCTGGCGGGATCATCGGATGGGATTAAATTATATTAGTTCTCCGACTCCGATTCTTTTTCTGGTGCTAATTGTTTCACGTTATTAAGGGTATCTGCCGCTGCTGATTGGAGGGGGGGTTGAAGATCTCCTGAGTTTTTAAGGCTTCCATAGCAGGGGTGGAGGGTAAGGTTGGTAGGTGTTAGCGATCGTTTTGTTGGATGATATCTTCATATAAACAGAAGAACTAGCTCAGAGGAAAAAGAGGTACATGTTCAAAATGGGAAGTATAAGGGTGAAACTAGTCAGAACCTGCACTTGCGTGAGGTAGACCATATTGAATCATCATTTTACATAGCAAACTTTCCACATCACAAGGATTATAGATCCTTGTAGAAGTGGTGCATGGTACATGGTAAAGTGGTCGATGTGTATATTGCGAGAAAGCAATCAAAAACAAAAAAGGCGATTTTGGTCATATTAGGATCTTGGGTATCGAGGATGAGGTTTCCTTTTCCAAGAAACTTTCTGAGGAATGGATTGAAAATTGTCATGTATATGTGTCTGTTTCTAGGTTTAAACAAGACAATAAACGTACATAAGTTGTGAAAATGTTAAAAATATATATATTAGGAATACGGGGAGTAAACATGCATCTTATGTAAGTGTTGTTTTGTGGGAAATGTATAGAACATTTTGAATCTCCTTAATCAGAGTTACGAGTCATTAGATATGACCAAAATACTGAAGAGATGTCAATCTGTCCAGCAACATCCTTTTTGCGTCTTTTTCAGCTCCGTTCTCCTCCTTTTGCATCGCAACTCCAATTTTAACTGTAATTGAACATTTCAAAGCATAGTAAGTATCATATATCTTAAAATATAACAGTTTTACTCAAATATATTAGGATAATGGCTTAAAATACATAGTTAAATAAAGTCATATAAAAATCCCTCACACTATTCTTTTTCTTGTCCTCGAGCAAAACTAGATGTATTATTATTTCATTTTAATACCACCACATCAAAACCATGCTCTCTAACATCACATAGAATAACCTAAGTTGAATTCACCAATAATGTTTCACCTAAATGCATATATTTGTGTGTAGATCCTAATTACTCTCCAAATCCTAAATACTTAATATCCTCATAAACATTCCATACTTATTTTGAAAAACATTCATTTTTGCATTCCTTCAATCTATGCCCTTTTATTACCCACTTTCGTTTCAAAAGTTATTGTCAAACTCCAAGTGACATGACTTAAAAAGAAAATTATATAATATATATATATATATATATATATATTATATATATATATATATATATCCTAAGAATATAACTAAAATTAATTATATCACACTATTTGTTTTTGGAATTCTTTTCTCCGTTTTTATTTTTTTCACAACTTTTTCACTCTTTTTTTTCTTTTTTCTTTTTAACTTCCACAAATAAACAAGCAAATAATTCTAACTTTGTTTCTATTAATAATATAGTTCGTGAATTTCTAAGAAATTCATTGGAGTACTCATAATCTCTTAGGCCACTAATGGAGTCCATAACTTTCGATGAAACCCATGTAACGACTTTCTTCCCATCACATCCAAACTTTTATAAATAGGTGGATGGATATAAACACCTCGCGGAGAATACTGAAAGATCTTGTATGCTCAATAATCATATTAAAGTGATATTGCTAATTAGCATATGATCCTAAGGGTCACACTAACAACTTGATACAATTGACTATTTATTAGAAATTGATTTTAAAAAATATTAATAAACTCATATAATTAATTAGAAATTATTTATCTCATGGAAATGTTAATTTAGCAATAACAAGTAACACATTAAGTCATATGTTATGAATTAATATGTCATCCATAACATTTTGGACCTATTAGATCTTTTTGTATGTTAGTGAAATGTAATGGCTAATTATCTTACAAACTATGTTGTAAAATCAAAAACTAGCTTTCCTTCTCCTTGAATAAAACCGTAACTAGTCAAGGGAGACAAGGAATGGAATCTTGCATTTTTTTATTCAAAAACATTAAGCCTAAGAAAGCATGCATTAAGACATATGGACATGGTTGCTCAAAAGTGTAAATACCTAATGGTTAAAGACTTCACTTTATACATATAAAGATGAGGCTTTAATTTTGATCTTTATTGCTTGCATGCATAACCATAGCCTTCTCCCTCTTTTTCTATCTCACTCTTTCATGCAAAGTTTTAGAGATTAGAATACTTGTTTTTGCTATCCTGAAAGTAATACTTGAGTTTTACTTTCAAGCTTAAGAGTTTCTCATAAAGACTAACATATTTGTATCAAGTTTTTTCATTGTTGGTGTGTAACATCCGAATTTCCAAAGTATGAATTTTATAAGAAAAATAATATATAGTTTGAAAATCTGGTTGGACACGACTATCACCACGACGTGGCAATTTGATTTGGAATCGCACATCGTTAATGAGTGTCGCGACGTGTCAGTAGGTTGGCCACGACGTGGCAACTATTCTGGACCAAGCCCGTAATTTTAGGGCTTCCTCCCATATTTAAGCAAAATTTCCAAAGGATTACAATATCCTCTTCAGCCTCCAACCCCCTACCTCGAAACCCTAGCCTTCCGTAGAGAGTTTTGGTTCATTTTGGTATTCTTGATGCCTTGAAGAAGAAGAAGAAGAAGGTATTTTGGTGCATTAGCCAGCAAGGAAACTTCATCATCACCATCTTGAGCATATTTTGGACCCTTGTGAGTATTCAAGTTCCAAGCTTTCTAGGTTGAGCTTCTAGATTTAGGCTTCTTGTCCCATTTCTTCAAGATTGTAGAAGTTTGGATGGAAGGATTCCATAAAGTTGGCAACTTCATGGATCCTTGAGGTCCCTTCGGGGTTTTATGATCCAGATCTAGTGTTCCTTAGTGTATTTGGCCTAAAGGAAAAGTTTGAGTTCATTTCTTCCATTGTTTTGACCTAGTTTGGGAGAGACATGCATTAAACATGCATGTCCATAAAGCATTGACTTTTATGATGCTTATGGAGTATAAAAGTCTTCTAGAATGTTAGATGGGGTGAGTTTAGTGATTAAGAGCTTAAAGGATGAGCTCATGTCTTAAGATGTCATTAAGGACTTAGGGTTGGAAGTTTTTATGGGTTTTCTAGGTTATAAAAAAAATTCACATGTGGCGGAAAAACTCTTAAACCCTTAAGTTCGCATGCAACCTAGAAAGGATCTAACTTTTCTCTATTGATAACAACTAACTATGAATATCAAGAAACCCTAGGAAACCCTATTAATTTTCAAAAATCACAAAAGTGTTTAGGGTTAAATACCTTTTGATTAATGTAGCAATTAATCAAGTAAAAACTCCCTTGACTTCCTTGGAAAGCAAGCACCAAAAGCTTGGATGCTTCTAATGTCTTGTACCCAAAACCCAAGCAACTAGAAGACTTTAAGAGATAGGAGGGAGGAGATTAATTTTCGGCTCTTATATATGTTATGGGATGGACAAAATTTATTAACCATTTAAGGGGTTTATATAGGTGAGTAAGGAGGCTTGGATAAGGCATGTATCCTTAGATAACCCTTATCCCTTTTCTTGCTCCCTAAGGCTCGTAGAAAATCTAAGAAGCCTCCTCCAAAACCGTCCCCTTTATGGGAAGGTTCTGGAATTCTTCAATGCTCAAATTTTAAACATTGTCACATTTAGTCCCTGTATTTTCAATTAATCTAATTAATTTCCGATTAATTCTAAATTAATAAATAAAATTTCTAATTAATATATTAATCATATAATATACTAATAAATTTCTAATTAATTTATTAATCATATAATAAATTAAAAAATAATCCTCTCTCTCTAAAAGTCTTTTGACTCAGTTACTAGTTATGAGGGCAACCTAAAAAGGACTTTGCTCTTAATTCAAGAATGTACCAATTTAGTTATTAGCTTAGACACCTTAATCCAACAGTTTCCTACTTGGATAAGTTTGTACCTACATTTGCAAGTATAGACATTGAAGTAACCAGCAAAGAGTGATTTCCAAAGCCACTGCTAAACTCTGATTCAAATAAGTTATTGGCCCTAAGATAAGTGATCATTTACCCCTTTGTTCTACAAGATATCGTATAGACATGAGACATAGATTAGAATCATTCTCATTGTATAATATTATGTTTCTCGATTTCCCGATTTATAAAGACTTTATTGGACTTCAAATTTAAAACATCAATTAGTCATGGTTGGGGCCAGCACTATATATAGTCAACATCAAATCATCGAGGGGCCTAATGATATCG